ATGCTCAGACTAAATTCTGATGTCTCGGTAAAAGAGCACTTTAAACAGCTAAACATACTAACTGTTTATGGGCAGTATATTTATGATTCAATTTTAATTTTTAAAAATAAAACCTCATCCGATGTATCCAATCTACCGGTTCACCGATATGAAACGAGAAAAAAAAATCAGATTTTGCAAAATAGGCACAGATTAAAGTTTTATGAAAAAAAGCCATCATTTGCTGGTAAAAGTTTTTTTAAACATATCCCCGGAGGAATTAGAAATGAAAAAGATCCAAAAAAGTTTAAAACAAAACTAAAAAATTTCTTAATAAACATGGCAATTTATTCTCAAGAAGAATTTTTCCACCTCCCTCAAGAATACTAGAAGAATGCATCTGTATGGGGAGATGTATTTTTTAATTTAAGATTTATTTTTAATCTGTATTTTATATTTTAATAATTGTAATCTTTGACACTATTCAAATGCTGTATTATGTATACTTCTCAATGAATAAAGAAATTGAAAATTGAAATTGAAAATATAATATACTTTACTACACCACAATATTTACGTATCACCATAAATCTTTAACAAAATAAAACGTTAACATTTTTAAAATCCAAAGTAAATCAATATAATATTTCTTTTTTGAAAAATATATTTAAAAAAAGGCGATGGTAAAATAACGACAGGCGAGTTTCGATCTGGGTGTTTCAGGTTTGAATCTAGGAGGATTTAACATTAATTAACATTAATGTTTAATCCTCCTAGGTTTGAACTGATTGAGAGGAATACATGAAACCGAAGGGGGGAGGTAGCAACAAGTTCACTAGTATTTACTAGTGTCCAATTACAATTTGATGGATTTAACCAAAACCTTTTCTATTTCACTTATTTTCAGCTGTTAAATTTCAAACGATACGTTTTAGCGACTTATCATCATCATCGTTTGAGTTTGGGTTTGCGGCAATGTATTTTTATGAATAAAACCTTTAATTTGATACCAAACTTCACCTCTGCTGCTATTAATTGACTGTATGCACTATTAATTAACAGCTGTGTCTAAGGATTATGTCGGCCTTAGTCACAAACAGGACAACAAGATCGCTCCACTCATCCCACACTCATCTCCATTCATACTTGGCTTAAAATGCATACATTTGTATGGTCGCCATTTCAAAACAACATGGCTACATTATCGATCATAGATATAATAACCATTATGAATTAGCATTATCCGGTGTAGAGTTTGAGACCATTGTCTTTGAATTTCAACACAAAAAAAGTTTTGTTAATAAATAGTTTAGTTTGTTCGTATTTTTCCGCCTACAGCCCACTCATCACACACTCATCTCCATTCATACTTGGCTTAAAATGCATACATTTGTATGGTCGCCATTTCAAAAACAGGTAAAATAGTATTAAAATTATATAAGAATTTTGTCTTAGTCTTTGTGGTCCACCCCCCTTAAGGGATAAAAAAGTGATAATAGCTTAAGACAGTAGATATTTATGGCTATTATTGATATACCAAGTCTCACTACTTTATCTATATTGTTAAAAAAATATAGCCAATCTAGGACTTTTCAACCATACTGTAACGCCAACACGAAATTTTTCCGTTGAACTCTTCCGCATTTCTTAGGCGATTTTGACCACTCATTAGAAAGAGCGTGTCACGTACATTTGCAAACCAACCTTACGTTTTAAAATCCCTTTGGCTCAGCCCCAGTGGCTCTTAAAGAACCCATGTTATGCCTATGAAGAACATATTGATTTATTTATATAAGGATCAGCTCAATTAATTGCTGTTATGCAATTCAAGGAAATAATGTAGGCTACATTATTAACATGTTACTGATTTTTTTGAAATACTATATTTACTATTTCTATTTGGGTTTGCTGGATAATTTAATTCATTTTACCAAACAATACAAATTAATTAAGTAATATATTTCATGAGCAAAGGACCTATTTAAGTCCTCATCAACCAAAAGAATGCCTACTAAAGCAAATAAAATTGAGACAAACATGTAATGCACGAAATCAGGTGGTTCTTAAGTATGTGAAAAAATGTATCGCTATTCAAAAACAGACGGAAAACTTGTAAACATATTCGTGACAACGGGTGTAACATGTCTACATTATCATTGACAAACGTGGACAACCTTATACGAGTGTGAGTAAGTCCGAAACAACTCTAAAAAACAATAAACAATAAATTGCAAGAACCGTTGCTTATATCATTGGGTATACACGTATCTACTGACGTGTATACTCAATGCTTATATCGAACTGTTATATGTACATCGTGAGTATTTCCATTAGTTGTTCCATTTAGTTGTGTGTCCATTAGTATAATATTTTAGTTGACTCTTTTAAAGTCAGCGGAAATTGTGACTGTTATTACCCTTGAAATAATGTTTGTGTAGTACTTTGCAATCCTACCAATGCTTATAGAATCATACGATTACAATTTTCTGGTTAGAATATGTCGCATAGAGTGGTGACTACTGTATCTTTTTGGTTTGCTTGTAAAACAGGATCAACAGAGATTTTCCATCGACTTAAACAATACGATACTCCCAAATTGTTCTTTGCAATAACAAAATATCACACAGTTTGATGAATATTTGTGTGTAAACTGTAAACCACATACAGTACACCTGTATTCTATCTATTTTACCTTTTATTTTCCCAAGACTTTATAGAAAATCACGCATTACGTGATCAGTGAAGAAAGGCTGTATCCCACGTGTTTTATAGGTTAAGAAGACAAGGACGGTCCTAGACATATATTTGGGGGGGGGGGGGTCACCGTGGGCCTGGGGGTATGGAATGCCCCCCAAAAAGGAGGGGGGTCCTGGGGTTTCCCCCGGGAAAAATATATAAATAAATAAATATAGGCTATAAGTTAAAGGGTGATCAACTCAAGGAGGCCACCATTGGGATATCGGAAACGTTAAGAATTAGAGTAAACTTAAAATGGGAGACATTCCTTTTTTTTGTGGTAGTTAAAAATATGATTTTAACACCCTATATTTTATCATGTTTTCGGATAGAATAGGCAATTTAAAAACTTTTTTATCCTTGACATTTTTTCGATAAACCCACTCGTTTAGGAGTTACAGCCTATGGAAAAATGACTTCCGGTGAAAATCTACATCATGTAGCTCCTAAACAAGTAAGTTTATAGCAAAAACGCGAAGAGTAAAAAAGTCTTACAATTGCATCCACATTCCAAAAAGACCATAAAATTCATTAAAAATATGAATTATATTATTAACAAAATGGCGGCAAACTTGAAAAGTGGAAAACTTGTTGTTTTTTAGTCTTTAAGGAATGTAGATGCAATTCTAAGACTAATTTACTTTTTGCAATTTTGCTCTAAACTTACTCGTTTAGGAGCTACATGATGTAAAATGTACACCGGAAGTCATTTTTCCATAGGCTGTACTCCTAAACGAGTGGGTTTATCGAAAAAATGTCAAGGCTAAAAAAGTTTTTAAATTGCATATTCTATCCAAAAACATGATAAAAAAACTAAAACCATATTTTTAACTGCCACAAAAAATAAAGGAATGTCCCCCATTTAAAGTTTTCTCAAATTCTTACCGTTTCCGATTTCCCAATGGTGGCCTCCTTGAGTTGATCACCCTGTATATATGAATTTGAACGGATGGTGTTTTTGGCCTCTAGGGACCTCAAAACGAAAAATTTAATCGGTCCCGGGTCCAGGTGTTACCATAAGTACTACGGTAATAGCTTATTCCCTATATGGGAAATTCGCCAAAAACCTAATAGTTATATAGAACAATATTACATTCAACCAGCTGTTAGTTAAAACAAATTATATGGGACTAAAACAAATCAATGAGAACAAAGATTCCTTTAAAAAATCATTTGAACATCCTACTATTTTACTATGCATATTTAATTAATCTGCCATCCTCATACCTAAGAATTGAATGTATCAATGGTCAGCATTACCACAGAAAACGTACTGGCATTACACATAGTATAAATAGGTCAACTCTTAAATATGTCTTTAAATTTGTTTCCAAATGCTGAATTTGTGTCACAAATGCTGAATGTTTACAGCTGTTATGTTAAGCAAATTATATTGTACTAAAAGCTAGCTTAAGAAGGTTAGCGTCGGCTGCTAGACTTTTAAAAAATTAAAACTTAATTTCTAAAAAACTGGGACCCTTAGTTATAATTATGGCTTTGACATTCCCTAGTTCTCAAAATTATCTTTCTTTCAACACAAAAATAATGAAAATCCGTCGACTGGTTGATTCAGAATGTGAAAAACCCCCATTTACGTTTTAATAATATATATGATAGTTTGGACAGGTTTCAACCCTTCCGAGGCGTAATACATTTACACAGTTGATGTGTAGACTACATTATAACTCATAAAATAGTTCTAAAATTAAATGGGTCTCCTTTTACAAACCTATATAATAACCAGAAATTTTCAGATCGTCCTTGCGTGTATTTCATGCCACAAATTTTGACGAAAGGCTTTTCATTACATAAACTATACCTATTTACAGTGTTGACCAAACAGTTGGCAAGAAGCATTAATAGATAAGCTATGTACCAAATATGATAATTTAAGCTCTATTCTAATTATGACAAAACACGAAGTAACTAAAAGCGAGTTTTGTTGGTGTAGTAAGCGTTGCAGGAGGTCTACTTTACACTGAATCGACGTTCACTTTTATTGCTTTTGATCTTCCGGCACTGTTGACTCAGCGAAACTGAACTTGTATTTTACCGTATTTCGTTATATTAAAACTGCTGTTGCATTAGGTCAAATTCCCAATAAGTCAATTGCTTTAACATAGACCACGTTTTTAGCTCGGACTGTATTATTTGACTTACTGGGACTTTTGATCTACAGACACTGCAAACATTGTAGTTTTTGACCTAGCGGCACAGGTATAAATTATTTGATCTTCCGGGACTGTTGACTTCCAGCAACATTCCCGATTAAACTGTCAATTTACCTTTTTTATACTTGATGAGTAGTTCCCAAATTGACCTTCGAGAATACGGATCCACTCCAGAAGTGGGCTCATCTAAAATTACAGTCCTGGAAAAAAATTTGTAAGAAATCAAATAAGTCAAAGCCACAAAAAATTTTCATGAAAAAGCTTCTAAGAAGAATTATTCCCTATGCTGCCTAAGGTAATAATTCTTTTAACCCTTAGACTAAGGAATTTTTAATGATTTCTTTATCAATGTACGAATTGAATTGAATACGGCACAGGTATCAGATTTAAGGCCTCCCTTGCAACAAGAGCTTGATGGAGACCTTAATTTACAGACAGACCTCGTATATTACATAAAACTTATTGCAGTTTGTTATATTGTAATGACCTTTACAAAATATAAAAATACAAAAAAACAAATTTTTTGATTGAATTCAGTAATTATGAACACGCAACTCACACTGTCAAAATTTCTGTCACTATTTAACGTCAAATTATTGTGGGTTTATGTTCTATTAGTATCATATTTAATATTTTTCCATGCATGTGAAACTAGCTCTCATATGAATACACCATTACTGTGGTAGACTGTAGTTCACAAAAGAAAATTTAACTGTTCACAATTTTATAAATTAGGTACTGAATGAAATAATAACAAATTAAATCAAAATCAGCCAGTACAACTAATAACCAAATAAATATTATAGATAACAGATAATTTGATTAGGCCTCCTCCCTTTAAGTCAAATACAGGATCAAAGGTACATTCTGACTCTGTGATATATTAAACTCACTTGGAGCCACCAATGAAGGCAACAGCAACAGACAGTTTACGCTGCATTCCCCCAGATAGGTCCTGTGTCAGTGAGGTAGCCTTATGTGGCAATCCTAGGTCTTGTATCATGTGTTCTATCTCTGGTCTGACAACCTCCGTGTCCTTTCCTCTCAACAACCCAAAGAACCACAGTGTTTCTTCCACAGTTAGTCTGTAATTGAAAAAATAACCCAACTGGTAAAGTTTTGTACTGCTCATGCAAAAGAGATTAAAAGACCAAAATTTAGCTGTTCATGATGATGTAAAATTTCTCAGTTTGTATGTAGATTCATATTTAAATTGGAACAAAAGCATTGAAAGTTTTATTAGTAGACTGATTTTGGCTTGTTATCAAATGATAAGTTTAAGAAACACAATTGACTTAAAAACTCGTTTAATGTTATACTATGCATACTTCTATTCAATTCTTCAATATGGAATTGAACTCTGGGGCTTTGCATCAAACCGATTTAATTTTTTTAATTCGGAAAAATGCTTAAGAATAATGACATTTGCACCATGGAGAACGTCATGTAAGCCAATTTTTAAAGAATTAGGAGTAATGACTGTTCCGAGTTTAACAATTTTTAAAACACTTTTGATGGTAGATCGAAATTTTGAAAAATTATATAGTGAAAATGTTGAGCATAGGTATGATACTAGGTTTAAAACAAAAATAACTTTCAATATCCACGGCATCGTCTTTCATTAGTAGAAAAAAGCCTGACATACATGAGTAAAAAACAATTTAATAAACTGTCTCAAGAATTAAAGAACGAAAACTACACTAAAAACTTATAACAGTATAGATGAGTTCTTAACTGATCAGTTTGTGTAAAAATAAATTTGTTTTAACTAAATTTTTTAACTGATACATTTTGTTTATACAGTAGAACCTTGATAACAAGACTCTCAAGGGGATTATTAAATAAGACTTGTTATCAAGGTTGACTTCTTATCGAGGTTTGCAATAACATGTGATTAAGGGTAAAATAAATTCTAGGGGATTTAAAAATGACACTTGTTATCAAGGATGACTTGTTTGTTTATTTTAGTCTTTTATAACTCCTTAGTCTTAAGGTATTTGTATTTTGACAATGTCACCTGTTTTATAGCATTGCTATATTATGTAAACGTTATGTGACAATAAAGATTTATTTATGTAACAATTAAACATGGTAGAATTCAGGGATTCGGAATCTGAAATCTGATTTAGAATTATACTTATGCGGATCTTTTACAATTAACTTATTGCCACACTACGTAGTGAGCAGTAGACAAGAGAATGTCAATTTTTACGGAAAAGGGCTCTGGATTATTGTAAAGTCCGCTAAAGTACGGTAGAGTCAGCTAAAGTCAAATAAATTTATTACAGATCACACTCACGTGAACATGTAACTTTTTCAAAAAGGTATAATGAGTTGTTTCAATCGGCTCTCAACAACGGTACTAGACAAGTTTGGCCGGGCAAGTTGCACTTTCAGAAATAAATAATGGAATAATGGTTTATAAATGTTAACTTTTAAAAACAGTTGATAATTAAGTTAAAATGTTGTTTTAAAATGGTGTTCTATAAATTAAACAGTGTTGTGTTTATTTTTATGGGTTGCATTTGACTCATCCTGTACCTATGTTTGATGCTGGTAGTGTGGCAGTACAGTATCATTCATGTCTTGTTCAGGACCTCGGTGGTGTAGTGGATAGCGTACCTGGCTGATAAACTGAAGGTGTTTACAGTAATTTGCATGATATCCCTAGTGAAAACCATCCATAGACACCTACTTTCCTGCATCCTAGCGTAATATACAATTTGTATAACAAAATTGACGTTTAGGCCTACTTACAAGTTAAACAAAACATTGTGCTGAGGACACATGCCCAGGCTGCTGCGTATTGAATCCATCTGTTTGCGGATGTCCAGGCCGTTGATGTAAGCAGTTCCACTGGTCGGAGGAAACATTCCTGTCAATATGGATCTGGGAACATGCAATGTAGTGTTTTTAATTACAACAATAATATTAAGAGATCATCATAATTGATTGTTACTAAACAGAACTATTACACCATTTGTTTTTATGCACTAGTGTAAATATAGTTTGGAATTACTAGCACAGATTCTGACGGCTTTTACCCACAGAGGTGCTACTTTTCTTTTATTACCGTACTCACTTTTGATACTATGAGTATCCTTCATCCTATTGTCAAATCTGAGGCATATTTATTATTTTTAGAGGTGTGCGAGTGTAAGATTTTTTAATGAATTGAGCTTTTGGTGGAAAGTACAAGTGAATCTTTCGAGCCTAACTTTTTTATTTGATGATTTTGAAGTGATGCCATTAAGTAAATTAATAAGTCTCAAAATCTTTCTATTAAAGTTTTAATTAACTCACTAAATCATTTTCCAAATCACCAATTACTTACTACTTATAAGAAAGGAAGGATACACAACTAACAACCTGAATAACTCACCTTTCCTCATTCCTCATTCAGGTGAGTTAGTTGTTTATCCTTCCTTTCTCCTTAACAAATTCTAAAGCCTAGTTGCTTGTTTCCCTTCAACAATCAATTACTTACATGGTGGTGGTTTTGCCTGCTCCATTGTGTCCGAGGAAGGATGTGATCTGATTCTCGTAGAAGTTGATATTGAGATTGTTGACGGCTACTTTGCCGTTGCTGTATACCATTCCCAGGTTATGAACAGCCACACCTTTCCTCATACCTCGTGGCTCAGCCTCAAAGTTGTCATGAGTCTCCACGACTGCAAAATATTATTTGATAGGTGTATCCTTAAAAAAACAGACCATTACTGTAAATTGGCCCTGTTAAGTGAACAAGTTTGATAATTATGTCAATCCCTTGAAATTTTTTTATTGGTGAAATGAAAAAAATATCTTTATTCATATGGTATACAGTCGCATACATTGAATGGCGTCACTAGGCTTAAAACTAAATCAAACTAACCTACAATTTATAGAAACCGTAAAGTGTTTTATCAGTTAAGAAATGTTTAAGTTTATTTTTAAATTTGGATATATTATCAATATTCCTCACCTCAGCTGGGAGTTTGTCCAAAAACCTTTACCCTGCACAGGTGGTTTTTTTGTTAAAGAGCTCCAAATTATGGACACTGACAGCAACTTCATTTCTGTTACGGGTAAAATAATTATGACTATCACCAAGTTTAGGGACCAAATTAGCATTAGAAAGTTTTTTTGTGTGTAAAATTGTATGAAAAACATAAATACTATACACAGTCATTATTCCCAATTTTGAAAAATATTGACGAGCGGAAGTATCCCATTCTAAATTTAACAAAATTCTGATTGCACTTTTTTGAAGAGTAAGAATTCTATCCAGGTTTTGCTTAGAGGTACAGCCATAAATGCTTATGCCAAAAGATATTGATGAATCGATAAAAGGAAAATAAAGAATCTTTAATGTTTCTATTGAGCAAAATTTTGACATTCTATTAATAGCATGGATACCAGAAGTAATTTTGTTGACTACCTGGTCAACATGCTTATTCCATGTAAGATTTTTGTCTACAATTAATCCTAAAAATCTTGTTGTGGTGATTTCTTCCAATTTATTATTTTGTAATTGAATTACAGCCTGTACAATTTGTTTTTTTTCCTGTTGTAAAAACCTTAAAATTACTTTTGCTTAAATATAACAAGAGGTGATGAGAATTCAAAAAAATATTTTGTATATTTAAAGTATCAAAATGATTTTCTAAATTTGATAAAGATGAATTGCTGATTTTAAAAGTAACATCATCAGCATACAGGCAGATATTACTACTGTTCAAACTAGTTGAAAATGGAATTGACAGATCCCTAACATAAATGAGAAATAAGATCGGTCCCAAAATAGATCGTTGTGGTACCCCATGGTGAATCTCTGTAAGAGGAGAAGATCTTGAGATTACCCTGTTATTTGTCAAATTTTTAATTTCAACGTATTGATATCTATTAGAATACGTATTGGTAGACGTATCTAAAGAACGTATTGGTATCTCTCTTTAATGCAATGTCAACTAAAATTACTCAGAGAGTTGTTATTAATAGTTTTATACCCCAAGAAATTAGTGATTAGAGCTGGGTGTTGAACAAAAATATAGGTTTGTTAGAATTAAATTGGAAAGTGAATGACCATATGCTTTTTGACAAATGTCTAATTTAAAATTAGAGGTGGGCCGATACCTATTCTTGATACCGGTATCGTCAATACTCGATACTTGCCTGTTTTGGGTTTGATACTGATACTGACACTGAACCACTGAATGCTACGAATCGGTGCGGATTAAGTCAGTTCAGAGCGGGTAAATTGCTATTGCCGTTACGAATCCTAGCTGTTTGCCTACTTAAACAACGATGCTCGCAACTCGAGTCAAGTAGTAGAGGTTAAGCCGATTTCGTTGATATTTGACAAGTAAATAACAAGAAAGGAAAATGTTTGAGTTTTATTTAATCCCTTAACCCCTTTCAATGTTGACATACTAGGCCTAATAATAATCGGCAACCTAGACATCGCTTGTATCATCCATTTCACTGACAGCGACAGCTGACACTGGGTGATAGTGATAGGTAGTGGTGTGCAGCGAGTGCGATGCATTGAAATTTCAATTCGATGCATCGAATCCCGATTCGATCCAGCATGCATCGATTTGGTCACGATGCAGTTCAAAAAAGGGATGTGTCGATTATCGTCATCGATACCACAATCTATTGGTTACCACTTGGACATTGGTATCGGTACCAAGACTCGGTTGTCAAAAGTCGATTCCGATGATACCGACACCCGACAGGGATAAATATTTTATTTAAACATTTATTTACTTTATAGCTACAGTATTAGTTTTGTAATCACGGTTAACAATTTTCATAGCCAACTTAGAAACTATCTAGTTCAAAACAGCGACGGTGCCGGTGACATTGTTTAGCTTCAGCTCATTGCACAACACAATCTACATTTCAAGATGTCAGACTCAACTCATGAGACAACCAGCGCGCGAATGTCCTGCCAACACAAAATTAATTATACCAAACAATGTCTGTATCAATAAGTCAGACATTTAGATCCTGGCTCTCTAAGTCCCTTCCTGCTCTTTATATTTTACACTTGGCACTTTTCATTAAAAACAACCTTTATTTATTTGAAAACTGTAAAAAAACTCATAGTTATGAAACTACAAACAACTTTTGGAAATTCCAAGCCACAGATTAGCTTTGTTTCACAATGGACCCTATTATCAATGCATACAAGTCTACAACAAATTGTCCTTTTATTTCACAGACCAGTCATTGAGCCTTAATAATTTTAAAAAGAAACTTTCAGAAAAACTGATTGCACTTTGTCCTTATGACATGAATTCATTTTTATCCTGTCAACTGTAGTCTTAATATTTGTATGTATTTATTATGTGTAAACTATTTATAATGCATGATTTGTACTGACATGTCACATATTCATTGCTGATATTTAGCCTCTGTACTATGAATTTTTGTGATGAATAAATTGATTTGATTTGATTTGTATTATTTTTATTTTTAGTACAAAATAAATAACCTAAACACATCGAAATGTTCAGTTTCATCCCTGCATTATACCGTTATACGCATGATTAGAAAAATTATATTCAACTATTAAACTTTAACATCGTCATCGTCGTATGGTTAGGCTTGCATTATATTGCGCCAAAAAGTAGGTCCATATTTATCTGTACTATTTACTTGATTTAAGAGTTTAGTGAAGTTTTAAGTGCTACTATGACATAATGTATTATTTGAAAAATATCATAAGCCTTAGTCCATGTCGATTATGTAATCTTATAACGAATGGTGAATGTTGACAATAAAAGTATGTAACAACAGTTCTCATTGGTCAGGAGGCATCAATGCACTACCATGTCAGCCAATCGACTTTTGTGTTTCAATGGAGCAAATGACGATTGCTTATACATCGTTTTATGTGCTTATTGTGGTTGGGAAGGGTATCGATAAATATCGTGATTCGAGATCCGATATGTAGGACGTTTTCGTTTATAAATAATGAGTATTAAAGTATAAAAACTGGGTTACAGACAGGTTCAAAACATCGATTGTTCCGATCCATTGTTGACACCACTACACGGAGGTTATTAGTGACGTCGTGCATAAGGGCCAGGCAGGCCGGTTCACAGTGAATCCACTCTGCCGAACCTATACTCTTGGTATCATCGGGAACATAGTCAAACACTTTTGTTACTAAATAAAACTATGGCATGTTTTATAAAAGCATTCTTTTGGAGATTCTAGTCCCAAAACATAATCTTTATTGTAGGCTAAAAGTAAAACCTATCTATTGCCATACTTTTCTCCACAGACGTCGACTTGTTCTACAATGTCTTTAAAAAATACCAGGTTTCAGTCAAAATACTTTTGTAAAAATTGACAATGTGCTGTTTTAGCACAGTCATTCCTTGGCCACGATCGTTTTTACTCACTAGAGAAAAGACTCCCCTTACAAAAAGTATTTATAGGCCAAGATGTATGTAATTTTTTTTTAAGTTAACTGTAATTGCTTTTAAAAATAAATAGAAAAAACTTAGATTAATACTTATAAGCCTATTTATAAATTAGAGGAATCTTTATTAGATCTCATCATAGTCAAATTCAAACATTTACAGTGTTTTAAAATAATTAACACTCAGAAACTTTTGTGTAATGGAAATCTGCAAGCGACTGAGGCCAGGGGTGAGGGAGGGCATGTGAACCAGGCTTTAGAGCAAACTTTCTCTTTTCCTACCCCATGTCCCGTTAGACGGTGGGCGGGGATTCACACTAATAAACACTCAGTTCATTCATTCACAGTAGAGAATAGTTTTTGTGGCAGTGACGTATGTCTCTTGTCTGCTCTTCATAGCTCACAAGTAGATTTCTTTCGAGAAATTATAAGTGATAATCTTTATTAAAAATAATTGAAAAACTTTTGACATTTTCAAGGAAGAAAAGTTAAGAAATAAAAGTGTTAAAAATAAAAAGGTTGCTTGATTAGTTATTCTGTATTTCAAAAATATCCTCATTTATGAATGTGTTTTCAGCTAGACTTGGTGACTTTTTCATAGTTAAACAAACTTTGAAGATATAGAACTGTTTTTCATACAACTAGTGAGAAACTGTCATTATATAGGAAGTTCGTTTTTACTCTCTTAGGGAAAAAACTTGCAGAGTATTTGTGGGCCAAGATGTACGTTTTTTTTATTTTTTATTTATAGCTTAATGAGTTAACTAAGACAATTGATGTCATTTCAAATAAATACAAAAACTGACAAATGACAGATAAATACTTATATAAGCCTATTTATAAATTAGAGAAAACTTTATTAGATCTCATGCTTAAGTCAAATTCAAACATTTACAGTAGGCCTATTTTAAAATTAACACTTAGTTCCATATTTTTGCAATTAATAATAAACCTTTAACACCAAAATATAAGTTTGATACACATACATATTCTGTTTTTTTATGGTATAACAGTTTATAATATTATTAGTGGAAGAAACTGTGCAAAAAAGATAGGTATCGGAAGTATCGGTATCAATAGGTATCGAGAGTACTTTGGTGGCATCGGTATCGACAATTTTTGGTATCGGCCCATCTCTATTTAAAATACAATATATTCACACTAGAGGGGACTCGTGTACATTTTAATGCGGATCAAAACTGGTTTCCAAAGTAAAAAGAATGATGCAATATTTTTTTTTTTAGAACTGTAACTGAAAAATAACATTAAAGAAACACATCATGGTAATATATTTGTTTGAGAGTTATTAGACTTATAAAACTACTAATTTACAACATTTAAAATCATTCGATTGTAGATCCATAAAAGATAGAGTGATTTACCTACCCCAATCAGGTTACAATTATCAATAAAATAAACACATTTTTACAATCAATTTTTACAATCCTTATATATAATTCTGTAAGACAAAATTTTTACCGGAAAATTGTGGACGCCTGGTAAGTCGCAGAAAAGTGGGAGGGGTCTTAAATTAAAGGTCTTGACCACAGGGACTCGGGAAAAATAGCAGAATTCTCATAAAGTTATCAGTAAACGAGATATAACGTAAAATGTTCTCCATAAGAATAGCATTAGAAGCCATTTACTGCAGACTTTTGTTTACTTCAATACAGCTGATCATGATTTATCATTAAGCCAGTATGCAATATTAACATTTGGATTACTTATTTGCCGGTCAATTCTGCAATGTATTGTATACTAAACTTATTTATTACATCTATTTTTGTTAGCCCGCCCTACGTACGGGATTGAGAAGTCAACTAAAACTTCTCAAAATTATCTTTCTTTCAACACAAAAATCATGAAAATCCGTCAAGTGGTTGGTTCAGAATCGTGAAATAAAAAAACCCTGTTACCTTTTAATATTATAGATTAGTTAAGCGTGTGATAAGTAGAATGATCATGGAAGTAGGCTTAAAAAAAGGATTGAAGGTTATTGTTGTATTGAAAGGATGTGAATAACCACATTGACTAAATAATAAACAATTCAAGATTAAATGGAAAACTTCTGCTTTGTTTTTATTTCAAAACATATGTTAAAGATTTAGTCTACACTCTCTTATTGTAAAACGTTTATTGTATTGAGTATATAGATAGATATATTGAAAAGAAAGCAGTGGAAACATCACCTATAGCCCGGGCAAATGTAGCAAAAATTAAGAGAAGAATTGTATAAAGAGTGATAACTTACACACTTCATTTTAAATGGAAAACTTCTGCTTTGTTTTTATTTCAAAACATATGTTAAAGATTTAGTCTACACTCTCTTATTGTAAAACGTTTATTGTATTGAGTATATAGATAGATATATTGAAAAGAAAGCAGTGGAAACATCACCTATAGCCCGGGCAAATGTAGCAAAAATTAAGAGAAGAATTGTATAAAGAGTGATAACTTACACACTTCATTTTCAATCAGCTTATCTGAGCTGTCAGTAAAGTCGGTTTTGCAGGATGTGCCACACCAGTAGGACTTGGTGACCAGGAAGTACCAACACTTGGGGATCCCAAACTCACCTACATTCGACAAAATAAACAGCATCTAGAGAGCAACAAATATCAACCCTATTCTACCAATGTCTCATAAATTAAATACAGCATTAGTTTCTAGCATACTAAACCCAGTGCATATCCTTCAAATTAAGTGGTGTAGTGGAGTGGGAATGTATGGGGACAGCTCGACTCTGATTTAAAAAAAAGAATTATTTTGATAGGAGACCCATATTTTTATACGATGCTAGTGATTGATCCTTCACTGGCAAATTTCTGGATACACAACTGGTCACATTGCTTAAGAGGGACACGCATACCTAACTGTGCACACATACCTAACTGTGCATGCATACCTAACTGTATACACATGCCTAACTGTGCACGCATACACAACTGTGCACGCATACAAAACTGTGCACACATACCTAACTGTGCACACATATCTAACTGTGCATGAATACCTAACTGTGTGTGCATACCTAACTGTGCACGCATACACAACTATGCACACATACACAACTGTGGGGATGAGATCAGTATAGAGGCCTTCCACAGAGAATTTCAAAGCAGCAAAGGAAGAAGTAGTCGATAGATAGCAAAGTTTATTGCTGCAAGAGTTTTAAGTTTATCCTCGTGGGAACCATCCACGGCTACCCGTGTTAAACTTTAGTTGACAAAATAAATTGCATGGATTAGTTGGAATAGTACAATTTAGGAACAAAACAATAAAAAATTACAGAAAATTACCAAGTGAATTTTTACCTGGAAACACAGCCTCGATGTACCAAGTGAGTAAAAAGTACAAGAAAGTGTCCACCATCAACATAACCAGCACCAAGCCCAAGTTGAAGTCATCTCCGTAGAGAGGACTTTGCCACAAGTCTGGCCATGACACGCCAGTTCCTCTCTCCTCCAGCAGGGATAAGTAGCCTGCCCCCAGACCAAACGCAACATTAGACGACAAAGCCTGCAAAAAAAAAAATGTTTGACGACATACGACAAAGGACAGTACAAAATATTACAACTCATTAGAGTGGCTGAATGAAAGTGGATAAAAAAATGTGAATAGTGCAAAACTAACCTAAGTGCCTCGGGAATAACAAAATAGACTTTTAATGTATAGTTAAGCATTAATACAGGTTTAGTTAATGATTAGATCTTTCAAATGCATTGTAGATACCGGTACCTTTTAACTTTGTTTCACATACTTGTACAACAGATAATATTGGACCATATTAGGTATTGGTTATAAATACATAAAAACAAATATACAACCAATGTATAGGTCTGGTAATAACAAAATACCCCCGCCGCAGCTAACCTGCTGTCTAAGCGAATTTCCATTTAGCTGAATTGCTTTTCAATTGATCTATTTAAATAAAATTAGGTTTAACGAGTACCTAGGTTTGCTGCTACAAGGAAACTAATAAAGTGTGTGTTTTAAGTAAAATAATTATTGCTTAGTATAAAATATTTGCCAAGTTTGATCAAAAGATATCCATAAACAAGCAAACTACAACATTTTACAATATTCTCTATAAGAATAACATGGGGATTTTAAATTTACAATTTTTTTAGTTTTCTCCGTAACCAATAACCGTACAAAAACACTTTGATATACTGAATTGTTTGTTTTTTTAAGCTCTTTAAGAAGGTTTAGAGAGAAATTGGGAAATTTTGTGTTTTGAGGGTCAAAAGTGAGAAAAACCAATTTTTACCCCATAAAACCCTGTTCCCATGGTCCGATCATGCTGGATCGCGAACTCATTCAAGTTTATCCCGCCTTACACCTTCAAACCAAATTTCATCAAAATCGGATAAAAATTACTCAAGTTATCGTGTTCACGGACACATATATATATATATATATAAATCTATATATATATACTAGCAGAGTACCCGTCCTTCGTACGGGGTTGGCATAGAAGTATAAAATGCTTGTTGCAGTTACGGGAGAGGACACGGTTTAAGGAAATTTGGTCTTTAAATTTATACGGTATCCTTTAGTGTAGCACACATCTACCATAGCACTAATTTTCTACAACTGCACCTAAACCAAGGAAAAAGTAAAGTTCTCATTGTGTACCACAACTTTTTGTTGCTAGTGGGTTCAAATTAGCTGTTGTAATAAATGCAAAAAACACAATAGTGCTGCACCCTGTTGGTAAGCCTTACTTTTAATGCTATTTAATATCATAGAACCAACTTTTACAGTTGAAACGGCTGACAAAATTCTTTTATTCCCGAATACTGATAAGGCTAACATGAGAAAATCCAGAACCAGAGCCACTGGGGCAAATCCTGAAAGTGTTTTTGAGGTAAGAATATATCTATATATTAATCGGGAATGTCAGCTATCATCACACCAAATTTCAACCTTATCGGTTTAGTATTTACTTAAGAATGTATTTGTCACAAACATCCATCCATCTATCCATCAATCCATCAATCCATCCATACATTCATACATCCAAACTTTTTTACTTATAATATTAGTAGGTAAGTTAGGATAAGTAAACTGTTGTGATATTGCTTGTTTATGCATATATTTTTATCAAACTTGGCAAATTTCTTTCTTTCATACTAAGCTAAAACTTAATATTTGCCTATAAATCACACTTTTTTACCCTCCCTGCAGGCAGCAAACCTAGGTAATCGTTAAACCTAATGTTATTGAGTTAGATTTAATTGAAGATAAAGTCACACAAATGGAATTTTGCTCAGGCTGCAGGTTTGCTGCGGTGGGGGTATTATGGAATTTATATTTATGTAGAAAGAAGACATTTGTGGTCGTAGAGATTAACTCTAATTTATATAAGATACTAAATAATCCCGTTGGTCACAATTAGTAGCGCCGGTCGCTTGTTATTTGAACAGCTACTGCAAACCAGCGCTACTATTCGTATTTGCTAGCAGCTATACCCGTGCCTTGCAACGGGGTCAGTATGCAAAAGAGACAATGTTGGTTCTTTGAAAATGCCAAATGGTATCACTCCTACCATTTAATTCAGAAACAAAATATAACTGTATAACTTAACTCAATAATAGTACGTTTTGGTTAACTAATACCGTTCATACTTATTTAGGCTACCTACGATACAAAACCAATGATAGATTTTAAGGTATAATAATAGAACGTGTTTAATGGTTTGCACTGTAAACAAAAATACCCCCGCCGCAGCAAACCTGCAGACTAAGCGAATTTCCATTTGACTGATTGGATTTACACTGAAATGACTACTTAAAAATATAACATTTATTCTTGATTTAAATAGAATTAGTTTAACAAGTACTTAGGTTTGCTGCATCAGGGAGGGTAAAACTGTTTTTTTTTGTAAAATGTGAATAGTTAGTAAGAAATAAAAACATTTTCCAAATTTGATCAAAATATGTTCACAAACAAGCAAACTACAACAGTTTACTTATTCTCCATAAGAATAACATGGGAATTTTAAATTTACAATTTTTTGGAATTTTCTCCGTAACCATTAGGCGCATAATAACGCTTTAATATACTAAATTATTTGTTTTTTTAAGCTCTACAAAATGGTTTGGAAAGAAATTGCTAAATTTTATGTTTTTTGGGTCAAAAATGGGAAAAACCTATTTTTACCCCATAAAACCCCCCGTAAACCCCCGTTCCCATGGTCCGATCATGCTGGATCGCGAACTCGTTCGAATAAACGTACGTTTACACGTTTGTACCAAATTTCATCAAAATCGGATCATTTTTGCTCGAGTTATCGTGCTGACGGACACACATATATATATATATATATATAAATATATATATATATATATATGAATTTGAACGGATGGTGTTTTTGGCCTCTAGGGACCTTAAAACGAAAAAAAAATCGGTCCCGCGTCCAGGTCTTACCATGAGTACTACGGTAATAGCTTATTCCCTATATGGGAAATTCGCTAAAACTATCACAACAGTTACAAACCGAAAAATATAAAAAAATAGGAAAATATAAATAAATATGGAAAATAGGGTAATTTTCTACAACAATATTTTAGTGAAATTATAATCAGGAAAATGGAAATTCACTCAGTCTATAGACTTGCTGCGGCAGGGGGATTATATTGCTGTTTACACAGAAATAAATCAAAAAAATAAACCTCATAAAACTCAGGATAATGGCCTGGCAATGATTATAGAATCTTAATTATTTCTTATATCCATGAATGATTTATTTTACAACGAATTATTCCCTGTAAAATATTATTACAGCATTTCACAAATATTAGTACAAACTCAGTATAATAGATCATAATCATAAACAAATGAAGTAACTGAAAGAATCATACACTAATGAAATTACATTAACATATGGTTTGACAGCTTCATTTAAGTGTGATGTTAAATAATGTTTACATTCGGGCTAGTGACATCATTTTTTTTAAATTTATGATCCTTACCCTCTCAGTTCTAATATTCGTGCAGTATTTAATATGTTTGAACCAGCTGTGTGGAATTGTGAAATCAAAATTCATTTGACAGTTAGTTCTGCTTGTTTACATTTTTAAACTTTGTAGGTTTGTTCTTTGTTACCATGGATACCATCAATCAATATTTACTTTTAAATCTCTCACCTCAAATTTTTGAATGCCCATGGGGCAGAGCCCTAGGACAATATCGAAGCGGGAATAGTTCTATATGTATCCTCGGAACTGTAGCTTCATTTGTGTGCAATTTGAGCCCAGTAGGTTCAGTAGTTTTTGAGATTAGCTCATACAAACACACACACACCACCTCTTCTTTATAATAGTATAGATATCTATATATATATATATATATATATATATATACATATATAAAAATTTGAACGAATGGTGTTTTTGGCCTCTGGGGACATCAAAATGAAAAAGTAAATCGGTCCCGGGCCTAAGTCTTACCATGAGACCTACGGTAATAGCTACTTCCCTATAGGGAAATTCGCTAAAATGAAAACATACACAGAATTTAACTTGTCAACTAATTGCTCGTGGTTAATTTGCATCAAGGTGAAATGATTCGTGGATAATGGGGGTGGACTACTATAATTAAATTTGACATTCAATTTTCTTGTAAAATAATTAACAGCAGCCACTACTGTTATTGTTGTTTGGTAATTACTTTTGATTATTTTTATTTTGAAATCAGTAGAACCCCTACCTAATATTCTGCCTCCGTTTCCGGTCCTCTGTTTATCCAGTCACTTCCCCGAATCGATGCCAAAAATATTTGAACTAGTAGATTCCAAAAAGAGACTTAAACAATACTGTTAACCAATCACAAGTTTAAATAATAGGTTTTTTTTATCCAGCCAAAATGTTATCAGGCCAGGGGCTCGGTCCCACGTAGGCCGGATATGAGGGGTTCTACTGTAATTGACCCAAATGTTGTGAGCTTAGTTTTAGATTATTTGACATATTTGACAGTTTGTGCACATTACCGTGACTTGACCTGTTGTACCTGATGCTTACAATAGACAATCATTATTAATAATCAAAAGAGTCTCACCAGGGAAGCTTTGATCCACGGACTCATGAAGAGGATCCAACGTACGAGGAAGCTGTACGGGAGGTAGAGGATGAAGAAGATAATTCCTCCACAAGCGGCTGAGAGATTGGCCTTGGAGAAGAAGGTGGAGAGAAGAAACGCCTGAGCGATGGTGGCCACTCCATACACACTGAGGAAGGTGAACACCAGCATGGGGTCTGCGTTCTTTAGAATGTTCCCGTACTGGAAAAGTTAATTGTATGATTAGTTAAGAGTTATCAGCTTTAAATTTGTAAAGAAAAGTTTTCAAAACTATTTGAGTATAGGCCTTAACATTGTGGTATTCACAAATACAGTAGATTTCCGACTATCCACCATAATTTGGCTGAGTGATAGTGAATGGTCAAAATCGTGAATAATGCAAACATAGCCTAAAATACCTGGGAAATAGTCAACATTGACTTTGAATGTATAAGCTATAAATACAGGTTTTGGTAAACATTTTAAATGCAGTATTCACACATTAACTTTGTTTCACAGACATCTATTGAAAAAAAAACAAATAATATTAGAGAGCCAATTTATAGGGTTGGTAATACAAATTTTTTAACACATACAAAAAGTGACTTATCAACTCATTGGTTGTAATCGGTGATTCATCGATGGTCGGTGAAGGAAACAACAGCAGCTCTATAGTCTGTCCAGTGTCCACGATATTTTGGGCCTTCTCATGCTAAACTATTTGACCGTCACTTTATATTTTCCTTATTAGTAGCATATTAGTTGCATAATATTTTGATATTTTTGCAATCACCATTAATCTGAAACAAGGTTAATCCATTTGTGGATAACCGAGAGTTTACTGTAGGTTACAAAATTATATTAACATTTTTTTATTAATAATTTGTAGTGTTCTCTTAAATTTAATGACTATTAATTAAATATATATACATTTCTTTGAATATAGACAAATTCACTTAGAAAAACACAACACATAGAGATAATGTCATCTTCCAAATTGTAAAATACTAATTCTGTAACAAAATCTCTCTGAAAACAACATTTGTTGTATAATATCAATTTTGGTCCATTCCTTGGTCTTTATTTGGTTCTATTACTATTTTAACGTCATCTGGCCGCTTTACCCGGCTAAATGCAACATAAAGTTGACCATGGGTAAACACTGGTTTTTTTCAAATAAATGCCAACTTTTGAGAAGGTTTGGCCTTGCGCTTTATTTATAGTAATAGCAAAAGCTAATCGCAACAGGAATTGAATCCTTGCGCTTTATTTATAGTAATAGCGAAAGCTAATCGCAATGGGAATTGAATCCTTGTAAATTTAAAGGGCATATTAGGATCTGTAGATATTAGTTTTATTTTTGGCATGAAAAATATGTTCCCTTTGCCTACTCCCAGTAATTACTTCTAACTTTACACTTTTTTCAGACATACCCAACACAACCAATCGTACTCCATTAACTAATCCAGACCCTAGGTTCATATTTCTTATGAGCATCACTATTGAACCAACTTTTAAAACTAATTTGTGTGGTGGCATTCCAGATGGTGTTATTGAATTTATAAACTCAATTGGTATGTTCAACCTCTCTGTAGGGTCTTCTGAAACTACTTCATCATTACTGTAGTATTCCTTATAGTCTCCTTCGATGATTTTTAATACTTCTTCATTTAAATCATCACATTGTTCATTTAAAGGACGTACAATTATTTTTCATTGGAGTAGTTTTGAATATTTTCTGGATTTATTGAGTTGCCATAAACAATTGCACAATCAGGGAGAAAAAAGTTATCTTGAATGTCAATTACCGGTGTTGCCCTATTGCTCTCTAAGGTTCCATTGCCTAAGCGTAGAAGTTTGCACGCATGTTTACTTTCAAATGTACTATACTACCTTTGACTATTAATACAACTTCTGTAGCCAATAGTCAATGATATTACTGTCCGCGAGAGTAAAGAAGTCCCTTGAGCCAGAGCGATACACAGCTATGTTCGGAGGGTATCGCGCACTATTTGCAGGCGCTAAGCATCTGGGCGCCTTGCCTCGATGTCTGTCTGTAAACAACTGTTGTAAACATAAATACTCATATCTTTGTTTTGGTAAGTGGATTATCATCATGCGGTCACGTCATTTGATTCATTGCAGTCTCGTGTGAGTTCTGTTTTGTTTTGGATGGTCCATGTAGCTATGGAGAAAACGTGGTGCTTCTATACAAAACTCTGTACACCCGGGAAAAAACGCAAAAAGGCTGACAATTATAAAGTACAAATAGATAGCTTTGATAGGTGTGTAATCGTAGATGTAATACACGATTTTTACACGAACAAACAAATTGTCTCTACAAGTAAAAATTATTACCTATTTTGAGAGGAAGAATTAATTTTAAATGGAGCAAATGGGCACTTCGGCGACTCTTAAAAGATATGGGGTTCCAAAGAAAAGAAAATGTTTGATTGGAAGGCCTGACATTGTTAATTGGAGGTTTAAGTATTTGAGAGAGATAAGAAAGCTAAGGGTACAAAAAAGGAAAATTTTCTATCTGGACGAAACTTGGATGGACAGTAATTTTACGTTCCAGAAATGTTGGCAAAGTGTAGACGTCGATGGTGTGATATGAACGCGTCAAACCGCAAGATTGTCGTAGACATTGGGTCAAACGAAGGGTTTTTGCAGGGGGGTTGGCCTATTTATAAGGCAAACAGTGCCAAAGGAGACTGTCATGGCCAAATTATTTTTTTCAACTTTGAAAAATGGATTAGTCAATGTGTATCGCCAAATTTGCTGCCAAATTCAGTCATAGTCATTGGTCATAGCCATAGTCATAGTCATTTATTAGTATTGTTTAACGTATTGTTACATTTAACTAAACAAAAATCATAAAGTAGGCTAGAAAGGTTATTAATTTGCCTTAGTAACACTAGAAAATGGGTTTCCTTCGATTGTATGACTATGCAAACAATATTATGACAGACATACATTTATAAAAATCATACCGATATTACAGTACATACAAAAATTAAGCCTAACCACTAGCGAAGCAGAGTGAAGACGGCTCTAATTGTTGCGCGAAACGTTCAAGCGTAACGCCTTCAAACTACGAATAGGCAGGAGCTCAGGGGACTTCTTTACTCTCGCGGACAAACCATATGCTTTAAATAAAGTTAAACCACATGTTTTAAAGTAAACAAAGCAGAGATGACCTAGATTCCCATGCTATTTAAATGCAAATTATTTTATTCTGTAATAACCTTTTGGTGCATAATTAAGAAAAATGAATATTTTTCCCCAAAATTTCATGCCCAGACCTTTAAAATGAGACCTCTCCCAGCTTTCTACGGCCTCCAGTTCGCTCACAATTTCATTGTAAAATTTTGGGCTTACGGAATTAGATATATAGATTTGTAGTGTTCTCTTAAATTTAATATATAGGCCTAGTGCTAGTTTTCAATACCATCCCTAATCTAATACCATCACAATATATGTTACACACTCACCACCAAGATGGCAGTAAGCATAGTAATTGTCACCATCATGGGCACAATACTGTCTATGAACCATCCTAGCCAGTGTACGAGGTTGCCGAGTCCCATCACTCTCATAGTCTCTTTCAGTCGTTGTTCCTTTTCGTACACGATAGATTTGACGATCATAGCACACGTGTAAACCCATGACAACACCATGAAGAGTGGGAAAGTGCGGGATATGGCCATCACGAACCTGGAAACAAAAGAATTAGTAATATCAATATGGTTTTCTTTTATTTAACACTCCAAGGGGCGCATCGGTCTTTTTGACCAAATTAACTTTTTCCTTAAAAAAAACTAATAATTAGTAAAAATTTAGAAAATAACAACATGGTCCTTATAGGTTTTACTGATTTATGAACATAATTTTACCTTATAAAAATAAAAATATAAAACTAGATTGACCAGCTGGATAAAAATTAGTGATGGTCGGATCCAGATATCGGACTACCGGATCCGAGCTAGAACCGGCACCGGATCGGATCCAAAAAATTCCGGATCTTGGGCTGGATCCGGTTTTGATGGATCCAATTTTTTCCCATTTTTTTACTAACACAATGCTATATGTATCCATGTACAAGACCGATTTTTTCCCAATTCTTTCCCGATTTTTTTACTAACACTAAGCTGTCTGTATCCATGTACAAGACAGATTTTTCCCCGATTTCTTTACTAACACAAAGCTGTTACACAAAAATTAATATCAAAGAATTTATATGGCAAGGCCATGTCTCAGTGTTTGTCTTTTGATGCAAATAACATATATGGCAAGGCAATGTCTCAATGTATACCTTATATCTTGATGCAAACAATTTATATGGCTAGGCCATGTCTTCGTATTTATGTGTTGATGCAAACAATTTATATGGCTGGCCATGCCTTCGTATTTGTATCTTGATGCAAACAATTTATATGGCTGGCCATGCCTTCGTATTTGTATCTTGATGCAAACAATTTATATGGCAAGGCAATGTCAATTTATATGGCAAGAACATGTCTCAGTGTTCGTCTTTTGATGCAAATAAATTACATGGCAAGGCCATGTCTCAGTGTTTGTCTCTTGATGCAAATAACTTATATAGCAAGGCCATGTCTCAGTGTTTGTCTTTTGATGCAAATAACATATATGGCAAGGCAATGTCTCAGTGTATACCTTATATCTTGATGCAAACAATTTATATGGCTAGGCCATGTCTTCGTATTTAAATGTTGATGCAAACAATTTATATGGCTAGGCCATGCCTTCGTATTTATATGGTGATGAAAACAATTTATGTCTCAGTGTTTTTCTTTTATGCAAATAACTTACATGGCATGGCCATGTCTCAGTGTTTGTCTCTTGATGCAAATAACTTATATGGCAAAGCAATGTCAATTTATATGGCAAGGCCATGTATTTGTATTTATATGTTGATGCAAACAATTTATGTCTCAGTGTTTTTCTTTTATGCAAATAACTTATATGGCATGGCCATGTCTCAGTGTTTGTCTCTTGATGCAAATAACTTATATGGCAAGGCCTACTCTCAGTGTTTGTCTCTTGATGCAAATAACTTATATGGCAAGGGCATGTATCTTTCTGAACCGAATCCGACCCGATTTTTTGCACACCTCTAATTTTTAGTTTGGACCGTTAGTGATGATTAGCTAACGGCCTATAATCTTGTCTCGGAAATATCCCGTTAGTATTTCAATCCCGCCCGATGCTTCGAGATAAAAAAATCTCAAAGTTTCCGGTCTTGTCCATCACTATAAAATACCCTGTGTCTGTGTACAAGAAGATTATCTGCATACATATTATTACATACAGGGTGAATAAAAAGTCAAGACTCCCCCATCTAATATTTTTCTAAGTTAGAACACAGTATAGTCTTCTTGTACACAGACACAGGGTATTTTACCTGTAGAACTTCACATACCCGGCTATCAGTACTGTGGACCTGGAACGAATTTAAGGAAGAGATCAACAAGAGGTATTCCAGGCATAAATAAATTGGATGCTGCATGCAAAAACCACGATATAGCATACTCAAGATCGAACTATAGTAGAATATACACAGATACCCTTTTGGTGTCATGCAAATTTAGCACAAAGTTTCATTTTATGATTTTGAAAAGTTTTAGTGTCCCCAAAAGATGAGGGATTATGGGCTCAACTGGAGATTACTCTATATATAAGATATATTAACCTTAAAACATTATCAATTTAATTTTAAACAGTATGATTTAAATTGGCATTCTGTTAATTTGGCGTACGATGATAAATCATTTACAAAGAAAACACCTCAATATATTTGTATTTGTTTGCCAAAAGACTGTTTTCTTAATAGGCCTATAGATAAATAAACAGTCAGATGTTTTTAAATTGTTTTTGGTTAAAAACAAATAATAGTTTTAGTGTGTTGTTTGATGAAGGAAAAATAAAGAGGATGGTTTGGTTTTTGTTCACATTTATTTTTGTCATTTCTGATATTTTATAATAACTGATCGTCCGTGATATCAAGTTGATTGAATCACGCATATTGGCGATATCAAATTACATTTTTTTTTTACCCGCCATTATGACAGTGTGTATCTGGATCCGGATCTGAAGATCCGAAGATCCGGAACCGAATTTTTAAAGATCCGGATCCGGTACCGAGATTTTCTTGGATCCGCCCATCACTAATAAAAATATTAAGTGGTTAAAATGTTAGTGTTAAACTCAATAAAAAAAGTGTATCAATATTTGAATCTTATTAAGAGAACTAATTAATAATATTTACATTCACATTGTATGTCCAAAGACTGTTTTTTTAGAAAAAAGGGTAGGCCTTTAATTGTTTGAGAGTTTTTGTGAAAATTACTGACCTTAGACTGGTTTAGTTGCTGTGACAAGCAGTTTGGAATGTTCTTTTTTATAAGCTACTTTTAGAGAAAGTGGCAACGCAGAACGTGTGCAACAGACATAACTGTGGTTTTACCTGTCCTCAACATAGCATGGGTAGGGGAACTGCTGCAGGAATGTTCCGGGTATATTCGTAACTCCCGTTTGCTCCTGTATCACCAGGTGGTCTATCATGTCTTGCAGGTAGGCAAACCCGTACGTGATGTACTTGAGGTCAAAGGCTGGCCGAAGTCTGGCCCCAGGACGCTGCAGAGTGTCCTGTAGAAACTCGGTGTTATCTACTCGCTCTACACTCATCCTGCAAATAAACCAGAAAACGAACTAGACGCTATAACTTCATTCTAGAGTGAACTGAAAAGTTAACAGCTTAATTATATACATCAATTTACTGAAAACCACATTTTTTTATATTTAGTTTTAATTATCATGACAATTAATATTCAACTTTATAGAGTTTAAGTTGGCAATATATCAGCTACAATTATTGAAAACATAATTCCTATTATTGCAGCTGGCCATTGAAAAAAAAACAAGGTCAGCTGAACGATCGGGTAGTATTACATAGAACTGTCATCTGAGGTTGAGTTTAAATATTGGGTCGAGTCAACAGTTGGCTTGAGAGGTCATTACAGGGTGTAAATAGTTTTCACGTTGGGTCGTTTGTTTTAAAGGTTTTATTGTTGATTGCACAAATCCTTTGCGAAGATTGTGTGATTGAAAATTCATGATTTCACCATGATTGAGCTAAAACTGAGCTGGACAACTGGATCCAGTTTCGAACCATTAAAAGGCTACTAAGATGTAGGAATATGTCCCAACTGAACTTTCCCAGAATATCTGTTGTTATCTGAGCAGCGTAAGATCTGACATTGCAATAAAAATCCCGACATTGCTGGTCAGCTTACCATGGCTCTTTTTACATGGTTCTTCTTACTTCTGAAACTATTTACCAACTACTTATTTGTTCACCAAATTTGGTCTGTATTGATCAGCTTGTGGGCTTCACTCACCTTAATTTGTTAATCCAGGACTCGTCAAATGTAACACAACGAAGACACAAACACACATACACGCACATAAAAATCGTCCTTGGATTAATTTACTCCGACGTTTCGCGGGACCAAGATAACGTCCCGCTTCCTCAGGGAATTAAAACTTTGTTTCTCTCGCGTACGCGAGCCGAACGCCTAACCACGACGTGACCTAACCAGAGTCGTGGTTAGGCGTTCGGCTCGCGTACGCGAGAGAAACAAAGTTTTAATTCCCTGAGGAAGCGGGACGTTATCTTGGTCCCGCGAAACGTCGGAGTAAATTAATCCAAGGACGATTTTTATGTGCGTGTATGTGTGTTTGTGTCTTCGTTGTGTTACATTTGACGAGTCCTGGATTAACAAATTAAGGTGAGTGAAGCCCACAAGCTGATCAATACAGTATAAAAACCTCGCCTAAAAAACATGTCTTTCAAAAATAAAAAATCAAATTTGGTCTATTCAATGCACATATTTCTGATCAATAGCTGTGATCGAATACTTTTTTCACTTAAAAATCTTATAACAGCTTGCATCTCACACTTGGTGGGATTTTCTATTATGTCACAAATTTTAGACATTGCAATATCTTGAAAAACGATTACTTGAACCTCAAAAAACAACAGCTGACCTGCTACTCACAACTCTACAAGAATGGCTGTGCCAACTCCAATACTTGGAAAGTGACCAACCCGAGGCCACTAAACAAATGGCTCTCTTACAATATTAATAATATATAACATTTTATAAGTAATTGAAATAAAACAAATAATAATATTAAAATAAATAATTTATAAAGCAAACGATTTCCACCCAACCCGATGTTCACGCAAGACCCAAAGATTAAAACTTTTTACACACCCTGACCAGAACAAAAGTAAAAAATCCTATAGCGTAGACCCCTAACATTGTATGCATTGACATGCATTGTATAATCGAATTCTCAGTCTAGGTAAAAAAACGGAGAAACAATTTGTTTATCATATTACCATGTTATATCCTTAATTAATACTTAATGGGTTTTAAACTTAAAGATCTAATTATTACTAGGGATGGACGGGATTGAATTTTTAGTTCCCGACGGGACGGGATGGGATTTTATCCTGTGCATAAAAAGGGATGTTTAAAAAGTATTGAGTATTGCAGTTACCAAAAAAGACAAATAAAATAAATTTTTACCGTTTGTGGCACTGATCTATAACAACTAGAAATTGGTAAAAATGTACAGATATAGAAACTGGTGACTCGCGATTATGGCGCGATGGTTGAAATTACTCGCGGTCACAGCACGATCGTGGAAATGACTCGCGGTCAGGGCACGATCGTCGAAATTACTCACTGTAACAGCGTGATGGTCGATATGACTCACGGTCTTGGCGTGATTGTCGCTTTGACTCGTGGTCATGGCGTGATCATTGGTATGACTCGCAGTCTCGGCGGGATTGTCAAAATAACTCCGCGGTCACGGCGCAATCGTCGTAATGACTCATAGTCACATTGGGATCGTTGACTTCGCCTCCTGCGTTCGCGGAACTATCATGAACATCTCTCACGATAACGGCGTCATCGTCACTCGTAAAACGGCAAAATCGTCAACGATTGGACAAACCCCGTCCCGAAAATCGGGATAAATATTTTCCTAAAATTTCAGGACCCGTCCATTTCTACTTATTACCATCTAAGAACTAAACACAAAATCCCTGGGTTGAGACTCCTACCTGATCTTGTACGTCGTGTTGGGGTTGAGAGTGATGTTTCCAGGGTTTATAAAGACGACGAGAGCCCACAACTTGTTGTCCTCAACCAGCTCCATACCAGCAACCATAGCCTCCGTCTCAGTGTTATACGGCACCACCTTGTCCCAGTCGAAACACTACAGACAGCAAGTTTCAATAGTCTATGGTACAATAGAGCCAGTCAGTGTTTCCTGGCAATGATTTGGCCACTTTAACTATAGACAAAAAAATTAAATATAGACTTCAGCCGTGCTACGGTTACCATGGTTAACATTAATTCTGGCGCACACCACTGGGAGCGCCGTGAAGTTACGTGGCGCGTACGCCGTAACCTATGGTAGCCGCAGCATGGCTGACGGTCTACATTTAATTCTTTTTGTCTATCCTTTAACTTAGGGTCACTTCACTGTGGCATTAATACTACTACAGTGTCTTCAGATTAGCAAGGTTGACCAGCAATTGTAGCTTAAGGTAGAAATTGTGCTGTACCAGTATAGTCAATCATGGAGAGAAATGTAAGAGTTTTACTTTACTTTTCTGACAAGATGGTTTACTTTCACAAAATAACATCATTTTACCAAATAATAATCTTTATATTATTAATGTGGTGAAATTTTGAAAAAAAAACTTGTTTCTAGATTTGTCTTTATTCCATACAATTTGTTTTTGAATCATACACAAATTTCAAAGCAAAATAATTGTCTTTTTAATGATTTGTTTATATCTAAGTTACAATTCCAGCTCTACAATCTTTCTTTCAAACTTACTGTTACTAACCTCCAAAAATTCTGTTGTATTAGTTGTAATGTTGATCAAGCGGTCAAAAGTTTCCTCCCGGTAAACAGTGTTGTTGGGATCGAGAAACCTAGTAAAAAACAAGTAATTGTTTCATAATAGTATTATATCCTCTGGATTGTTGGTAAATATAAAAAAAAGAGTGTAAATACCTGTGTATAGAATTAATCCCTTAGAATCTGTTTATTTCAGGGAACGTATTAACGCAATTTTAAAATAATTGCTGTTCTTGTTGTTATTTAAAAATACAATCGGGACTAATCATGTGTGCAGAAGGAGATAAACACATTGAATTACAAGTTAGTAAATCAAATAAACGAAGAAAATATTTAAAAAAAGAATTACGATTTCCTATATGTGTAGGAATGGACCAGCTATGAAAATAAGCATAGTCCTATTTAACAGCAACAATAGGGGTGAGAAACTGAGAAATTTATGTATTTACAATTATGTATTTATATTATTCATACCGGCAAACGTATTACTACCATAAATAAATGAAACTAAATCTTTACTAACTATTTGGAAATCTACACAGATTTTATTGACCTATTAATTAATAAAATCGGTCCTGTAGAATTGTAGATTTAGTTGTAGAAAGTTAACAAAAATCTCTCCAATTCAATATTTTCTCACCACAATAAATTAGGAGGTTGCTAAGCTTTTTTGCAAATAACTCTTAAACGGTGAGGAAATCGACCAAAGTGGAAGGTGATATTCTGAAAGAGAATAAAATTTGCTACAAAGTACCCTTTGGCGTTTTTTGAAAATATTCAAAAAAGGCCACCTAAAGTTAACTACAAATGTAAATTTGAAAATATAAACTATAAAAAAAACAGTTTTTAATGTATCTTTGCTTTTTATTCTTTTTTCACCACAAATATTTAATAAAATCAAACTTTCATAATTATTTGCAAATCTACACAAATAAGGCTTTCCAACGATACATTAGTTAACAAAATCGGTCCAGTAGAAGTCTAGATTTAGTTGTACAAAGTTTAACAAAAATATCCCTAATTCAGTATTTTGAACAACTAAAAATTTGGAGGTCACTTAGCTAATTTGACAAACACTTTTAAATGGTGAGTAAATCGTAGAAAATGCACGTGATATTCTGAAAGAAGATAAAATTTCCTACAAATACCTTCTGTGTAATTCTTGAAATTATTTAATAAAGGCAGCCAAAAGCTGACTACAAATATAAACTTGAAAATAAAAACCTGAAAAAACAGTTTTTAATGCATTTTTGTTATTTTTATTTTTCCACCACAAATATTAAATAAAATCAAACTTTCATAATTATTTGCAAATCTACATGAGTAAGGCTTTCCAATGACTCATTAATTAACAAAATCGGTCCGGTAGAAGTCTAGATTTAGTTGTACAAAGTTTAACAAAAATATCCCAAACTCAATATTTTCTCATTATTATAAATTCGGAGGTTGCTTAGCTTTTTTGCAAATAACTTTTAAATGGTAAGGAAATCGACCAAAGTGGAAGGTGATATTCTGAAAGAGAATAAAATTTCCTACAAATTGATACCATACACTTCTTGGAAATACTCAAAAAAGGCCGCAAAAAGTCTCACCCAAATAAAAAGTGTGAAAAACACCGTTTTCAATGTATTTCTTATGGAAAACATGTTTTTTCCCGCCATAAATCATAACAAACACAAACTTTTATAATTATTTGCAAATCTACACGAATTAAGCTTTCCAACTACCCAATAGTTATTAAATTTGGTCCAGTAGAACTCTAGATTTAATTGTACAAAGATTTTCTAAACTGAAATATATATAGAATAGATTTTTTTTTAATCAGCTCTTATGACAGTACATATCTGTCTTGAATTTTTCAAGATCCGGATGCGGTACCAACATTTTCTTGGATCCGCCCATCACTAATTAGTATTGAAGTTTATTTAAAAAAAAATGGAACCTATAGACAGAATAAAGATATTTACCTATCCAGATCTTCTTTGAAAGTTGTTATGGTTTTGTTGTAATTTTTCCCAAGGAAGCTGTGAAGAAAAGTGTTGTTCAACAAGGCCTCACCTCTAGGAGAGTCGAAAAACAACTGAAAATAATTTAAATCTGCTATTAAACGTTTGTAATATTATATGTAACATATCAATTCATAGCTCTTTCAGTACTATGAACTAATAAATTTAAACATGAAAGTCATTGGTGATCAGTGGGATTTGAACAATGGCCTTCAGGCAAGAAACCATTAGACCAGTCACACCCACCTATGTAAAAATATATCAAACCGTAAATTTATACTTTTTTACATCCATGAGGTTTTTGACTCTATGAACTATAATTATATTTTTAGTTTGTAGTTCATAAAATAGCACTAGTATATTAAAATATTCTTCAATAACAAACAAAAATAATATTTGATATTTACATAGATCAAATTATCATCCCAACACCAGAAGGTAAAGTACACAGCAATCTACAAACCCTCAAAAAGAAGAAAACCAAAAACCAATGTCAAAACTCACCATTTAATCAGTTCCTGAAACAGTTAGAAATTCTTTGAGAAAGTTTCGTATATTTTTTCTAGCATGTTCAGGGCTAGAGTCTTTATGAAAGGGACCAAACCCATTTTTAAAATTGTAAGTCAAAGGTAGTTTTGAAATTAACTTAAATTAAATTGAAAATATATATATAAAATATGTTTTAGTATGCAGTTAACACAAATTACTCGGCTGTTTAAGTAAACAAAATCTTTTTTTCATAAGAAATACATTTGGATTTTGATGGTCAGTGGGACAAAGCCCAAGGACTTTTATTACAGGAATTTGTGAAAGGGGGCGTATACACAAAAAATACTTAATTTTGACACATTGTTTGTGAAAATCCGTCAATTATTAACAGAAAAGGAGTGTTTTGTATAAATCGCTTTCTCGTATTATATATAAGGATACTAGCAAACAATATGTTATTTTATTTAAGTAAAAAGTTCTTCATTTTAATTTACTTATTTAAATTTGTTTAAAAACGCTACTAGTCTTAATTTCCTGGCAGTAAAACTAGTCCCTGAACAAAATTTAGCATCCACGACTTTTAAATTAACTGCATTTGATTCTTAAATTTTATCACAAAAACTATTAAAACACTAAATAATAACTCTTTGTACTGACATATTTTTATGACATGATTATGTAACGAAATGTAATTTACTTTTGAAGAATGAGTTCTATTTAGTTAGGTACTGATTGCACCAGTGTCTAGAGCCCAGAATCGATTTTAGTCAGGAACTGGTTCAAGTAAGAATGAATGGCACATCACTCAGCAAATAAATTTCATTTTACATTTTCCATTTGTTTCACAGTGGTATCTACAGTATGCTAAATTATTCAAGAGTAAAAATTGTATGCAATTAAGAGTAAAAATTGAAAAAAATCTATTTGCATACATAGATGATAACCAAAAGACTAACCTTAATTATTGCCAACTGTGCAGTGTTGTTGTACAGCAATGTCTTCAGTTGGGGTAGAGTGAAGTTTGCAAGGTTGTTACTGAAATCATGAGCTTCTTTGACGATTGCAAATGCTGAGTTCAACTTTTCCATAATCCTCTTGGTAACCACTGTTTCAGGTGTGTACAAAATTTTCCCTCTGAAATTTTACATGTGTTAATACAGGAAACATATAGAGTGAGATAAATTTGTAACACATTTTCAGGGTAGATGGTCTTTTTGTAAAGGGTACAACAAATAATTGTATGTCATAATTGTAGTTGTATAGTTGTATATAATTGTTGTTGTGTGTTATATGTAATGAAAGTTGTAAATGTTTTTTTCAATACTATATAGCTCCTTTTTTTAATTGTCTCGTCATTCAATCAACTATTACAAAAGATAACAAAACAACATGGGTGTAACATCAATAAACAAACCGATCGCCTATAACCTATAGGCGCCTATAAAATGGTACCTATCTTGACAAATTATTTGCAGTGGCCTATACTACGGACCGTGGCCCACTGGGTTGGTAACATTATTGAAAATAACACGACATTTTGGCTGTAAAAAATAGCACAATGAGTAAAATACTATTTAAGCAGCTACTGTCATGACAGGAAGGTCATATTCCTTTAAAACTAGATTACATCATCCTTTATAAGATATGTTGATTAAAAATGCATGTAAACGTCAATATTTACGTAACAGCCAATTTACAGTATATTTGCTTTTTGGAAATGCCTCAATACTATATTATTTACATTATTTGCTGCCAATGAAGCCGCACGACCATATAAACGAGGAGGCCCCAGTTCAAGAATAAAAGCCAACTTCACTTCAAGTATATTCTACTACACCTAACATTCCTTAGAGAGATTATATTGACAACTTTATGGAGGTAATTGATAAGGCTGCTCGAGACAACTAACTGACATCCCCCATGTCATTGAATTCTAGCGTTAACAGTAACCCCACAACCAATTTCTCAAAACTATGATGGAGGGTTGTTCATTGGCACAGAAGTACGATATGAACTGACCCGACGTGACGAAGGAAAAATCAAACTTATACTGTAACGGATATACCTCCCTTTGAAGTTAGGGCGTGTCTTCCCAACAAACAGATATTTTTTTTTTTATAAAATCATACATTAATCTGCATTACACTGATGAAATCACGGAAGTGTTTAAATACAAAAGATCCACCAATACAATTTTAATACTATTTAAAGGTTCTTCCAAAGGAAGAGATACCAGATAACATACTAATAATAACTCCGATGACGTACGGTGTGGGAAATATTTTATTCGTTGAATGATCAACCATTTTTGGTAACTAACGCAATTAATATCATTATTGTTTTTACACTTATTACTCTTTAAAAAAAAAAAAAAAAAACAATGCTAAATGCTCAAAATATGTATAATTTCACTCAATTTATCGCGGTTAGATGAATTAGCGTAAGCCTTGAAAGTAACCGTCAATTTCGACGGGTTTCACCTAGTATAAATTATTTAGAAAGACAATTTTACAATAAGAAATAGGCTACTATAATATTAACTCTCCATTGATTTTCAGAACAAAACTCTAAAAAGAGGAGAGGCCAAGACTTTATCTACGAATAAATAAATCAAATGGAAACGGAAATTCAACACATTCATGATATTTCCTAGAAATTGTAATTTACTAGATGTTCCCTTCCAAAGCAGTTTTTCTCTTCAAATTCATTTGATTTACACTGACCTTATGTATGGTTTGATCATGCGCCACAACGCCCGCATGGGTGGGGAGGATTCTATCTGTTGGAACAGCCAGTTGCAAGCCGGTGTTGTGGTGTTGTCGTACTCGTATTGCTGCTGGGTCATTGTTGAGTCACGCAGCTGTTCGCGCAAGTCGTCAAACCTTAAGACAAATTACAACCCTTAATTTTACTTTTACTCAAATGGCCATTTATTTCATAACCATGGTGGGCTCAAAAATTTCCCTCAGAGTCACTGCAGGTAGGATCATCCTATAACCCCAAGTAAATTTATTTCCAAGTGCTTATCAACCAATAACCAATAAATATGAGCCCAAGTGATCATAACACCAAGATATTTTTAATACAACCTCTCACAACCACAAGTCATCGAAAAGCCAATGAAAATGTGATCATTAAACAAAACTAAGTTCTCACAAAACCAAGTCAATTTATTTCCAAGTAATGGGTGGTCCATAATAACCAAAACATTTTGTTTGGCGACAGCTCAGCTATCATATTTTATTTTAAAAGAAACATTAATGTTTTAAAACTATAAACCAATTAGGCATATCACGACAGTAGGTTGAATATATTAATTGGTTATTAATATTTGCTCATCATTGGCTTAGGTTACTTCATCTTTCAACCTCTCCTTAGGACGTCCAGGCCTTTTTCTATCCTTTTATATCTGGTTTATTGTATTTTATTCCTCCTTATAAAGTTAAATGAATTATTATGATTAATCACTTCTACAAACAAAATGTGAACCTTGTACATAATGTGCCAATAAATATCATTAATTAATTTTTTTTTTAGAACTATGTTTTAAATGCAATTACCAATAAAGAACAAGATAATAACAATCTAGAAAAAGTGGGTCATCACATTTAGTCACGCAAGCTGAATAGAATTTTTAAGATGAACCACTTGTAAAGTAGTTGAAACACTTAATTGTCATCACCGTTATCTACAATCAATACTGCTCAGTTTAAAGCATTATCTCAAACTCAAACATCAAGTGGGTAGGATTGAGAAAAGTTAAAAGAGTAAATCTTTAACAAAATTGCACATGCATAATCAGAATCTTGACATGTCTGAATCAATATGTGTTTCAAGTATCAGCAGTAAAATCAAATCAATGCTACCTGATGCTTTCACAAACGCTACAAATGCAGGCCTGTAACAATATATCTATAGGTACTGATAGAGTTGGATATTGGATGTTGCATTAAATGTTTTAAAGCTCAAAAATGATTTTTCAAGTGATCATTAATGAGAAGTAAATAATTATGTGTAAGTAACCACAGAGAAGGAAGGTAGAGAGGAATCATTCAATGGTGCACTTAAGTGGTGTGCAGCATTAGTCGCTGGTGTCTAAGGCATTGTCCAACACACGCTTCTCCTAACCCTTCTCACACTCCTTTCCCCCCCTGCCATCACGCGCTACAACATTCATACTGGAGGATGACCATCTACTCTATCCTGTGCAATGGGAACTTCCAAACAGTGCTCGCCACTTGGGCTCTTCTTCACTCATCACAATCACATTGCCCTAACGTGCACGTACATTTTCTCTGTACCTTTCTTCTCTGTTAAAGTAACTGAAAATAGCGTTGATTTAGAAGTTTAGTAGCAGATCCAGTATTATGACACAACGTGACCTGTTCACGAGCCTTGCCAGAAATAATATATTTCTTTGTGACATTAGTATACAGTATAGCTTTGTACATCAAACAACAAAAAACTCACTGGGTAGGTTTACTAGCGGCACTGAGCAGTTGGCCTATACTCACTGGGTAGGTTTACTAGCGGCACTGAGCAGTTGGCCTATACTCACTGGGTAGGTTTACTAGCGGCACTGAGCAGTTGGTCTATACTCACTGGGTAGGGTTACTAGCGGCACTGAGCAGTTGGTCTACACTCACTGGGTAGGTTTACTAGCGGCACTGAGCAGTTGGTCTATACTCACTGGGTAGGGTTACTAGCGGCACTGAGCAGTTGGTCTACACTCACTGGGTAGGTTTACTAGCGGCACTGAGCAGTTGGTCTACACTCACTGGGTAGGTTTACTAGCGGCACTGAGCAGTTGGTCTATACTCACTGGGTAGGGTTACTAGCGGCACTGAGCAGTTGGTCTACACTCACTGGGTAGGTTTACTAGCGGCACTGAGCAGTTGGTCTACACTCACTGAGTAGGTTTACTAGCGGCACTGAGCAGTTGGTCTATACTCACTGGGTAGGTTTACTAGCAGCACTGAGCAGTTGGTCTATACTCACTGGGTAGGGTTACTAGCGGCACTGAGCAGTTGGTCTATACTCACTGGGTAGGTTTACTAGCGGCACTGAGCAGTTGGTCTATACTCACTGGGTAGGTTTACTAGCAGCACTGAGCAGTTGGTCTATACTCACTGGGTAGGGTTACTAGCGGCACTGAGCGGTTGGTCTATACTCACTGGGTAGGGTTACTAGCGGCACTGAGCAGTTGGTCTATACTCACTGGGTAGGGTTACTAGCGGCACTGAGCAGTTGGTCTATACTCACTGGGTAGGTTTACTAGCGGCACTGAGCAGTTGGCCTATACTCACTGGGTAGGTTTACTAGCGGCACTGAGCAGTTGGTCTATACTCACTGGGTAGGGTTACTAGCGGCACTGAGCAGTTGGTCTATACTCACTGGGTAGGTTTACTAGCGGCACTGAGCAGTTGGTCTATACTCACTGGGTAGGTTTACTAGCAGCACTGAGCAGTTGGTCTATACTCACTGGGTAGGTTTACTAGCGGCACTGAGCAGTTGGCCTATAAGGTCGCCTGAATGGTTTCCACAGAAGAATCTGTTGAACATGACAATTGCTTGGTCCGTCTGTGAAATGTTTGCTGCAGTCATCTGACTACTTAGTTCTGTGAACTCCATACTCAACGCTGACATCTCCCTAGATACACCAATAAATCGTAATTAGAACAATTTTAAAGCAAATATTCATTAAAACCCCCTTTATTCAATTATATTACAAGAATGAATGATGTCACATTTCATTTATTACACTGTATATACAAATGGAAATTAAATAAAAGTACGTCAGGTTGGTAAAATAATTAAATACATTTTCAGTACAGCGATGAAAATCCGATGCTCAGTCATCCGAAACAATGGTTGACTGACGTTGGTTACCTAAAAGGTTAATCACCGCAAGAAATGCGTATGGGTGTTGCCCCAATCATGAGAGTTTATGACTTGAGTCACCAAGACAGTAAATCTCATGGATGTTGCTACAACCGCAAAAGACAATTGAAGTCAGTAAAAATTACATATAACCAAGTAAAAAAAGTTTTAATTTTATCAATCAAAGTAAAAATATTGTATTTTATTTATACCCTCAATTACCAGCCATACCAAAAATTCTGTTATCCAAAAAAAACCCCAATCTAACACTTTTTTGGATAATCAACTCTCTAATGTACTTATAAAATATGAAAACAAAGATTAATTAGTTTATATGACATATAACTTTTTTTTAAATAAACATTTATCGATTTATTACTTTGTAACAGTTTCACGTAATTTGTGGTAAAATCTTTTATCATAAAATATAAAGGCGAAATATGAAGGCAATAAAATATTTTTTGTCCTACAGTAGACTCCCTCTTATCCGGACTCCTAGGGACCGAGGCTAGTCCGTATAACGGGTTTTCCGGTTAAACCGACATCCCCAAAGACTCATTAAAACGGACCATTTAAATGCATACTGTATACAGTAGTTGACTTAAATTTAGGAGAGCATTGTATTTAGACATGTGATCACTAGTCTCAAATCATTCCCACGAGAGCAGTCATTTCATTACCGCCCACTTCCTGCCGATCTAGTCCGGTTAAACCGATGTGCTGATAAAAATTGTCCGGTTAAAGAGATCTCATTTCCCCCGAGTGTAGTCCGGTTAAACCGATGTCCGGTTAAAAGGTATCTGGATAAGGGGAGTCTACTGTACCATAAAATAGCACTTCATTGTCTTAAGACTAAAAATTGTTACAATTTAAAGTCCTTTAAGTTTCTGACTTTATACATTATGCACATTTCCACTTGCCATATTTATCCACTTTCTCAGTATGCTACATGATGATAAAAGTCTGCTACTCACCGAACAGCTTGAGTGTAGTTTTCTACAGTGATGAATTCTCGCAACACTTGGGTTGAGATATTTCTTAGCTCCAACCAATCGCTCCAGGATAAATTTCCGTTAAGATTACTTTCTACATATTTAACAATCTGAAAATATGTGCCTTGATTAATTGACCCTAAATTAATGATCATCACTCTCTTAAGATTTAACAACAAGGTTAGTAGTAGGGGGTGTGTGAGTACCCTAGTATATGTAGGGCATTTTTATATACTCAGAAGTTTGGGCGAGTACATAAGACTATTGAAGACAGTTGAGTAGAGTAGGGAGTAAAAATATTTGATAAACTCAGACTTTTTTAAAGTTTTATTAATTCTCTCTTCCCTTTATTACAAAGAGATGATAATAAAAACTGTTATTTAAGTATAGTATTTAAAAATATGTAAGTGATAGATTAGAACTTGTAAGCTGGTCAAGTAAGGCATGACCAAGAATCACTACTACTCGACTTAACTCGATACTCGAGTGGCTGTTTCAAAATTCAACTTAACTAGACTTCTAAAGTTACTAGTCTAGTCGCCCATCGTGGGTTGGTATTTAGTATTGATTTAAAGTTTGATAAACAGCTCCCAAAATATCAATAGTTAAGAAATAGCTATTCTATTATAAGTTAGAGAATGTTCCCAAAACAAAGTAAAACCAATTAAGCAACTTAGGCTTATACAAGTTTAAAACAATTATTGTTACTATTTTGTTATAGTGACACACCGGGGGTTGTCTGTTATAACCAACAGTCATTATGGTCTTTATGGTCATTATGTAACTTATCTTGTTATTTTTTTATGTATTCATTCTGCTCATGTGCTTAAAAACACATATATTTTGTAAATGGTGTATCTGTTGATATGGATAAATAATTAAATAAATATCCACCACACCAGGATGGATAAGGTTAGGTTTCATTTCAAATTTTTGGTTGCTTAAAACCTAACTTGATGTGGTCAGTATAACAGAAGAATACCAAATTGTTTATTTTATAATTTATCATTTTTAAGTTAGAATCGAAGCTAATCAAAGATTTCTAATATTGAGTACCTACTTATTGATGCAGTTTTACCTCATCATAGACTCCTGATGCAGTGAGAGATTGCCTGAAGATGGAGTATAAAGCTTCTGCTTGTTCTGTTGGCAATTTACACAGCTGATCAAAAACAGCAGACGGCACATTTGCAACTAATTTCAGCTGACTTTCGCAAAGCAGCTGAGAAACATTACTTTGTAGAAGACCCACAAGGCCCTGCAATTAGAAAAATATTTTTGCTATACATGTATCTGGTTAATTTTATCGTGTATTTAAAAGATACAATCCAACGTACAATTCCTGTATTTTCCTGCCGATACTTAAAGAATTACCATAAGATATTTCTCACCGCTTAACTTAAACTAAACTTGTATGTAGATTCTATAAGCTATTACTTGTGTAAAACCCATATACAATTACTGCATTGAAATTCTCCTTCAGATTAGCAACAAACTTATGATGGATATTAAAGGGAAATAAAACATCCACATTTTAAACAAAATTCCAATATTATTTTTAGAAATTTACGCCGCCGAACAAAAAACCTGTATAATGGCCGCAGATTACGTATTTACAGTTGCGTAGACACCCTGAGTTTTGAACTAGTCTTATCCGGCATTAAAAAACAGCATCTTACATCTAAGATCTACTTTCTACAATATTACTTGGTCATTGTTTGCCCACATAATACGCAACCAATTATGATCAAAACTCAAAAGTAAACTGTTTTGGAAATTAGAAATTAAAAGATTTTACTATTTTGGAGGATTTTACTCAAACTAACCAAGGTTAAATTTTGAGGAGCAAAGTCAGCTCCAAGAAGCGAATCCACAGAGTCTTCAGGCAGGGATATGTTTTGTCGATATATTTCTCTCTTCACCCAACCAGTGTTATTGAGAAGTTCTGGAATTCTTACTCTGCCTGGAAATAATAAATGTTCTGTAATAAGAAATATTGATTTATATACAGTAAATCCTCTTTTAATTTGCCTCAGGATAATAGTTTATTGGGTTAAAGACCTCTAACTAAACACTGTTCAAATATTTTTGTCCCGTCCTTATTTTACATTTTTTAAATGGTCTCAATATCAATAATTAAAAATCCAGAATACTTCTACAACCCAGATTATATTGGAATAATACCAATAATATTAATAATAATGGTAATGATAACAAATGACTCAACGTATTACGTCATTTTACAACCATCAATAAAAATAAAAATTCATTGTAAAATTTTGTTTTCGATTGATAAGTTGCTGTACAAAAATGTTTATGCAGTCACATTTCTAAAATCATGAATATGAACTGCAGTCTTGAGGACATCATCACTGTCTTCTGCGACATGAATTTTTTGCAAAGCTATTAAGGAACGCGGCAGCGTTCCGCCCCGCCAAGTCCCCCAGCGGTACACAGCTGCTGCAGTGTATATATACATGACGTGACAAAGTGGCTTTTTTACTCGTCTATAGCTCTGAAGAAACAAAAGCTATTAAAATAATTGTTCATCTACTGGATAGGGGCAATCATTCTCAACAAAATAAAAAAAAGAATTTAAAAAACGGTTGTGTTTGAGCAAAGAAAAACTAGTTTGAAAATTCACAAATTTTCCGTGTTCTCCTTCTTCTCCTTAAATGTTGACGGACCTACAGCCCAAACCACTGGCTCAATTTTAATGTTCTTTATGTTGTGTGAAAGCCCTTAGCGTGTAGATGTGCCTTTTGAGGGTCTCAAGTCGGTACGTTGACCCATAAACCCTTGGCAAGCCCTCAAAGTACGATTTTGGCCCATTTAAATAACATGGGATTAAAATCAAAACAAATCAAAATAAAAAGAAGGACCAGCTGCGATTAAATATCAATAAATTTAAATGTTAGAGAAATTTATAGGAACAGCTGATAATTATTTTAAAACTTTTATAAAGTATTTTTTTCAGGTATACCGAATGATTTGAACTACTTACTATATAAAATTACTTAGAGCAGAGATATTCCCCCCGTGACGGTTCCAAGGGGGGGGGCTACAGGGGCTAAAGCCCCCCCTCCTTGGACCCTGGAAAAATAAATTTAAACGTTCATTTCGTCCTTAAAACACGCAATGTCTTAAACACACATCAATGTAGATTTTATTAAACTTAATAAGCGATAGCAGGAGTAGTATTAAGTTCCACATAGATCAACTTTGTGGACAATAGCACAGCAAATAAAACAATATTAGGCAATTGAAAGTTAGTTAGTTGGACACAATTATATACATTAATATGGCTTTAGAAAGTCAGTAAACAGCTTTTAGGACAATATTGCCGTAGCCTACAATATGTTTTGAGATTTTATGAATGCAATCGTCATAGTTAGTATTAAAATGTCTACTTATTCATGACAAATAAAAATGGGGAAATGGGAGGTTTTGCACACAGTTCTAGACGTTAACACTGGCTGTAGAAAGTCACCCAAGGGCTCAATTTACACTAGTCTTTAGATATACGGGTTTAATTATCAGAACACTTATGTAACACCAACGCATTGCCAGTAATGTTGGAATTCACTTCAATATTAGGTTGAATTCTATTTAAGTTGGTAAAAGCTTTAAAAACGTTAAAACAGAGGGCTATTACTTTCAACACCTTTATTTACAATTGAACTCACAACAATAAGCATTTAAATCATAATTAAATCTTAGCAATGAAATATAAAGTACAAAGAATAAAATATATTCATCTGCCCGAATTTTAAGTCAACTATAAATTGGTGCTAAGTAGGCCACCAGATGCAATCACATTTTATACATATGTTTCTATATAATTATATACTAGGATACTAGCTAAATTATTTAACTTAAGTCTTTTAAAATTGTATTAATAATTTTAACAGCTGTAAATAAAACGTGTTTGTTGTCTTTTTCATGTTTACAAAAAGAGCAGCATCGTTTATGTGTAGTGAAGAGATCTAGTTTAAGAACATTGAGAACATTTCTTAGGACCATTTGGTAAGATACCATGGCTATGTTTTAATTGCATTAAACTTTCTTTCTAATCCATCTATCAATCTAATCTATCATCAGTATGCCTTCTAAAGAAAGACTGGCAAGAAAAAGAAAACAAGAATGGTATTTAGATAACGCCCCTGCTATAAAAAAAAGAAAAACAGAAGAAGCTAGCATACAATCCACTAATAAGAGTTCTACTTTTAAAGCTTGGTACCTTGAACATGCTAAAGGAGAAAAATCCAAAGCGAGAAAACGTTATCTAGCTAATATTGAAACTGAGAGGTTAAGAACACGTGTGCAGTACAGTGCTAATCCTGAACCTCGCAGAGCTAGGTTGCGGCAACAATATTCTGCTAATCCTGAGCCACACAAGGCTAGAATGCGTCAGAAATACTCTACTGATCCAGAATATTATAAAGCTAAAAAACGTTTAAACTACGGTGCAAAACAAGAAATGAAACAATCTAATCGCAGGAGACGTTACAAAGTACTTCGTGCTAAATACCCTGGCCACTTTCGCTTGCGATATAAACTTAAGGTTTTTCACGAAAGGGTGCAAAAGTGTGCAGCCTATCAAAGCCGACGCTTTTTAAATAGATCTGATGGGAAAAGAAAATCAGTAAAAAATGTAAAAAGGAAAACCAAAAAAAGTGTTGCAGCTTCACATATTTTCTTGGGGAAAATAAATTGTGAGAAAATAGCCAGACTTATAGCAAAGAAAATACCTGAACAAGGTTATACTAAAAGGTTGCTAAGAGCTAAAGAGCTCTTGAAATGGGTGTTGCATGCTTATAAAAATTACAAAAACAATTTCCTTAAGCTATTTGTTAGCCTGCAAAATCGTGCTAAAGAGTCTCTTGCTAAGCTATCTGCAACAAGCACGTTTGAGGACAATGTTGATGCGTTGTGTGGGCACAGTCTTCATGTTTCCACGTCGGAGCCTTATTTCTGGGAGTTTACCTATAGAGTGTTTCCTGGTAAACAAATAACTGTTGGTAACGAGCCCAGCACAGCTCATAGTTCACCAAAGAAAAAGTGGAAATGCAACTCAGATATATGCTTCATTGAGCCTGACCACTTAGAGAAACTTAAATCTCTTTACAATGAAATAGTTTCAAGCTCTCTCACTAAAGGTTCTAAGCTTATTGTCAGCATGGGAGAGCACTCATATCAAAGTGGTGTATCATCTCGTGTAGGTGTTCATCCTCACTCTTTGGACTGTTACTCAGGAGCATGTGTTTCGAAACTTCCTTTTCTGAGAACAATCTATCCTCACTTTCCTGCAATTCGTAGTCTTGTCTCCAAAATTTACCGACTGTTGAAAATAGCTAAGAAGATTATGCTAATTAAAAATGGCATTCTTAACGTGCAGGCAAACGTGTTGTTTTCGATAGAAAGGGAATTTAAAGAGCAAACAAAAGCCTTTCTTACAGATGACACAAGTGAAAGCAAGGTCCCTGAATCTGAGTCTCAGTTGTTTGCAAAATATCACAAAGCATTTGAGGCATTGGAGAAGCGATCTTCTGAAACGCCAGTGTTTCCCTGTGTCTCATGCGATAAGTTGTTCAGTAAACAGCAAGTAAGCCTGTTGAAAAACCTAAAAAATCAAATTGTAGGACACATATGGCAAAGAATAAAAGACATAAAGAAAGAAGAGTGCAAAACGGGATGGATTTGTCGAGGCTGCCTTGAAAAACTAAGGAAAGGTCAGATGCCTCCTACTTGCATTCTTAACGATCTCTATGTTTGTGCGCAGCCGAAAGAGCTAACTTGCCTTAAAAGTTATGAAAAAGTCTTAATTCAGAGAGCCAAAGCATTTCAGGTTGTTACAAAAATGAACACAGTTGGAAAAAGAACAAGTCGAGCTCAGCAACAAATTTCCAAAGTCGTGGGAAGAAGTTTTCATTTGCCACTACCCCTTCAAGAAACCCTGCAAAAATTGCCCAAACCAAGTGACCCTCTGAATCCAAACCACGAGCTGTACGTTTTGGTCAGAGGGGTACCAACCAAAGCAAAGAATGTTTGGCAAATGTTGGTTAGTGTGGATAAGGTACACGCAGCCTTAAGTTTCTTAAAGAAAAACAACGCTCATTATGGTAGCATCGTACTACCTACAGATCCAGAAGGACTCTTCAACCTTAATGATGACACAAATTTATTTCAATCTACCCATCAAAACGAACTGCCACCTCAGGAAATACTACATAGACGTGCTATATTAACTCAGGTAACTCACGAGGAATGGGATTCAGAAGAGTCTCACTATACAATCCACGCTCTTCATGAATCAAAATCTTATAGTGATGACACCGAGCTCTATGAGATGCTGAAAGTGAATGAACCTCCGATTAGTCATGAAAACAAAGAGATTGACGCGCTTTGTTTCCCTGATTTGTATCCCGAAGGTAAATTTGGCCAGTTTCATTCCAGAGAAACTAAACTCTCTTCTGCTGAATTTATCAAATGTCGGTTGCTTTCAAAGCATTCTCAGTTCAGACTGAATCAGCAGTACCTTTTTTATTTGCTGCACGATGCAAACCTTCGGCAGTTAAGACAAGGAGTATTCCACAAGCTCAACGTCACTGGATTCAGTGGCTCTCTTAGTGCTAGAGACTGTTTGAACAACCTTGCATCGGGAGAATTAGAGGGGAACCTGACATCAGTATTCTCCAAACTCAGGAACACTAGCCAGTACTGGATACAGCCTAGAAATGATGTCAATTGCATGGCTCAGCATTATGGACCAGCTACATGGTTTTTAACCATAAGCCCAAGCGATTGGAACTGGGATGACATGGCATTGTTCATTAGGGAAGTTAACCGGAGTGTTCCAGGCGCAGAAAA